TAAAAAATGGGCAGAGAATATGAAGAGACATTTCTCTAAAGAGGACATACAGATGGCCAATAGGCATATGAAAAAATGTTCAACCTCACTAATCATTAGGGAAATGCAAATTAAAACCACAATGTGATACCACCTTACCCTGGTCAGAATGGCTATCATCAATATATCAACAAACAACAAATGCTGCCGAGGTTGTGGGGAAAAGGGAACCCTGGGGCACTGTTGATGGGACTGCAGACTGGTGCAGCCACTATGGAAATCAGTATGGAGGTAGCTCAAAAAACTGGAAATGGAACTACCTTATGACCCAGCAATTCCACTCTTAGGTATTTATCCAGGAAAACCCAAGACACTAATTTGAAAAAATATACGCACCCCTATGTTCATTGCAGCGCTATTCACAATAGCCAAGACTTGGAAACAATTGAAATGCCCATCGGTAGATGACTGGATTAAGAAACTGTGGTACATTTATACAATGGAGTGTTACTCAGCTATAAGGAAGAATGAAATCTTACCACCTCTAGGTTGGACCTAGAGAACATTATGCTAAGTGAAATAAGTCATTTAGAACAAGACAAATACCATATGATCTCACTTATATGTGGAATCTAAAGAACTGAATAAACGAGTAATGTAAACAAAATAGTCTCAGAGACACAGAGGAAAACTGATGATTGCTAGACGGGACAGGGGTGGGGATGAGGGAGAAGGTAAAGGGGCAAGACAACATAAATTGGTAACTACAATATGGCCTCAGGGGTAGAAAAGACCGTCTGGAGAATATAATCGATAATGTTGTAAATATATATTTTTCAAAGATTTTATTGGGGAATTGGGAGAGGGGAACAGTGTTCAGAAATTGGGGAAGGGGAACAGACAAGTTGTTGTCCTTTTGTTCTTCAGTCTAGTTGTGGAGGATGTTGTTTCACTGGTCCATGTTGGTATTATCATTGCGCTTTTCCCAAGTGAGGCAGATCGGTCACTGACCATTGGACAGCCACTCACAGTGGCCCATGGCCACCCACAAAAGCTCATGCCTGCTGCCGGCCAGCCCCACTGCAGCCTATGCTGTCACTGGCGACTCACAGCAGCCCAGCTCCAGGCCAAGCTGTTGTTCACCATCTTAGCTGTAGAGGGCAGTGTCACTGGCCCTCATGTGGGATCTGAACTGGGGCCCTGCTGCTCAGAGCTGGCGTCCCAAGCCAACTCCTAACCAACGCACCAGTCAGCTGACCCTGTTGTAAATACGTTTTAGGGCACCAGATGGACTCATGCCTTGTTAGGGAGACCATTTCATAGTCGGTGTAGAGGCCTGACCACTGCACAGTACTTCTGAAGCTGCCGCTGAATAATATTATATGTCAACTATAACTTAATACATATATAGTCATGGGATGTGGAGTATAGTGTGGGAATGGAGTCAATGAAATTGTAATAGATATGTATGATATCGGGGGTGGGGAGGCAGTGGATGGGGGAGGGGGTTGTCACTTTGTGAGGGGTGAAAAGGATAACTATTGCATTGTTTTGTACACCTGAAACTAATAATAATAATATAAAAAAGTCGGCTTTTTGTTGTTGTTGTTGTTGGTTATTTGTTTTGGAAGTAGGGACAGGTTTTTTGCTCATCTTACTAATCTATGTATTACTTAAATGACCATGTTCAGAAACTAGGAGATTCAAATTTTAAATTGTTTTACTCTAACAACTATAATATCAAAGTTGGAGTGAAGTATAAACTCAGAAAGATCATTCCTTCTACTGGATACTTGAATGTTAACAATAGAGGAAAGAGTAGTTTTCCAGTACTTTATTGAATGCCTTCAACAGGCATTTTCACAAAGGTTTTACAATGCTGTCGATTTCATTTTCTGAGACTTTTCATTATTGGACATTTTTCCTTCAGTTAAGATATCTTCCTATTTTTTATGAGAGTGGTCTTGGTCAATTCTGATCACTCCACTATATTTTACCCCTAACCATAAGCATAAAGAAAATATATCCCTATTATAATTCTGCTTTTCCTTCAGTTTCTTTTCTCTTCTGTCATCCTTGAAATTCAAAACCATAACTTCCACTTCACAAATTCCCTAAATAGGCTCATTACTTTTCAGTAACACTCCCAAAACTTACCTCCTGGCCACAATACCTCTAGATATAGAAAAATTCTATCTACACCACATTATTTCTAATATCTTTCTACTCAGATTTCTGAATACTGATCCATAATGGCAGAAAACATCTCTATTATGTGCACCCCTGCATAACCAGCTCTGACTACAATGCCTGGCACATAATTTGCACTCAATCAGTATTCTCCAATAAAAAGTAGATGGCCTAACTCAAGCAGAAGTTCAAACACTTGCGTCACTTTTACATTATAACATATGTGGATACATTATCACCATTTCCCATTTTATTCAAGCTGAAAAAATCAACATTTTTCACTAAGAAAGTCACACCATTTCAGATTCTGAAGATACCTTAGCATGAGTTTGTCGAGACTCTTTTCTGAATACATAAATTATCTTACAGATGCCTAATAAGTGATACTTCCTTCACTGGATATAGCAGTTATTGTATAATGTCTAAAAAATAATATATTTTCTTTTTTTAAGAATGTCTTCTATGAAAAGGATCACAAGAAAACAAGTTAAATTTTCAAGGAGCTCTAATAATTAGAATTCCATTCCTTATTTATAAATCTAATCTCAGAGCTACCCACTGCACAGTCAGCCCTCAGATCTGACTTACAAACATGCCAGTAGTAAAATTGTCCTGCTATTGAATGAACTCCTGTTTCCGCATCACTTGGACCAATTAGAGCTTGAGCATAGATAGCCACACTCCAGGGCTGACACTGATGGCAGGGTCATCTTCCTTGGAGTTGACCATTTTGTAGGGTCTCCTAGTCCAGCGACCTCATGGTCAGACATTGTGCAGTGAGCCCTGTCATGTCATGGAGAGGACACAGTAATACATTTATCACTGCTGGTTGAATGTGAGTCTGAAAGGTCTTTTCTGTTGTGGGATTTAAATGAGAAAGTTCTAGAAGGCTAATGAGAAAAGGACTGTACTGTGAGACCCAACGAAGCAGTAGGCTCTCCAACTCAGGAAGCCAATGGGACTTTTTCATCCCATTCCTGTATCTGCCCCACTAAAGCTCTAGGTCTTTCTCTTTTCCAGGGGAAAAACATTGTACCACCTAATCATACCTAATACTTAATGGATTTCTCTTCTCTTGTACACTTGCTACTATCTTTTGTAATCTTTCTTTGCAATTGGCATCACCTCATTTGTCTCCAATTCAAATACGTCTTTAATATTTCAACATATCCTCTTCATACCATTGAGCTATTTTATTCCCTCCATATCAATAATCTGTCTAAATTTATCTGAATTATTTTACACAATTGAGTATTACTCAGCTATAAAGAATGAAATTGTACCATTTGCAATGATATGGATGGATCTAGAGAATATTATGCTAAGTGAAATAAGTCAGTCAGAGAAAGACAAATATCATATGATCTCACTTATATGTGGAATCTAAAAACTAAATAAATGAGAAATGTAAACAGAAATAGTCTCAGAGACACAGAGGAAAAACTGAGCGTTGCTAGTTGGGAGGGGGTGGGGATGAAGGACAAGGGGAAGGTATGAGACGATACAAATTGGTAACTACAATATGGCCTCAGGGTAGAAAAGACAGTTTGGGGAATATAATCAATAATGTTGTAAATATTTTTTAGGGGGCCAGATGGACTCATGTCTTGTTAGGGAGACCACTTCATAGATGGTGTAGAGCCCTGACCACTGCACTGTAATTCTGAAGCTGATGTTGAATAATATTGTATGTCAACTATAATTACATATACATCTAGTCACGGGACGTGGAGTAGAAAGTGGGAATGGAGTGTATGGAATTGTAATAGATAAGCAGGATATCGGGGGGGGGAGGGCTGTGGATGGGGAGAGGGGTTGTTACTTTGTGAGGGTGAAAAGGATAACTATTGCATTGTTCTGTACATCTCAAGCTAATAATAAAAAATAAACAATAAAAGATACTGCAAAATAATACCCTGGAATATAAAAATCGGTTTAGTTGAACTTACGAAGAACTTACAACCACAAACAGTTCTTGTGCTTCTATGATGGGTAAATATCGCAAATTTGTTACCGGTACAAATAATTCATCATACCTTGTATCTGTACTTGTGTTTTGTAATTATTTGTTATATAAAATTACCTTTACCATAATATGCTATAAAATTCCTATGTAATACAAAAAAAACCACAACACACCTACATGTAAACAAATAAAAACTTGAATTAAAATGAAAGATTATTTCCCTGAAAGTTTGGGCCAAAATCTTGGGTGCGCATTACAAAGAGGAGCGCATTATACACGGCAAAATACACTAAGTAGCATTTTTATTTATTTTCCTGATACAATGCAATTTCCAAGAACACTTCTGAAGTAGTGTGATTATGGTTCTATGTGTGACTGCCTGATCATGTGAGATATGACAAATAAGTGGAGGAGATATTATTTTTGATGCTGGTATAACAATAAATGCCTGTGTTATTTCAAGGAAGAACCCATGGTTCAGATAACATCTTGTTAACCCAATTTTCCAGAGAGGATATAACACTTCAAATGAAGAATTCACAACCAAGTACACAGAGATTTGTTCAAAACAACAATCGTTTTTATTGAGAATGGTGATTTGCCCAACAGTAGGATATTAGTATCATTAACACAGTCATAACAAGAAATCAGATTAATGGAGGAAAGGTTAATATTTGGAAAATAGTGAAATGATATACCACAGAGCTTCAGACCACAAAGATGCTATTCTAAGAAACGGGTGGTTAGAGGTCAAGTCCTGTCAAGCATATTCCTAGTAATAGAAATCTTGAGCTATGGATGCTTGAATCAGCATTGTCTTTAGAGCTGTTATTTCAGACACAAACGAGGCTTGGATAGTGATGTTCTAGCAGCAAGAAGAGTAACATCTTCTATAGCACAATGGCCGGTAGCCCCAGGAGCCACAGCCAGAGCCATAACCACAGCCATATCCGGTTCCATAACCACAGCCATATCCGGTTCCATATCCACAGCCATATCCGGTTCCATAACCACAGCCATATCCGGATCCATAGCCACAGCCATATCTGGATCCATAGCCACAGCCATAAGAGGGGCTAAATCCACAGCCATAGCCGCCATATCCAGAGCCATAGCCACCATATCCACAGCCATAGCTGCCGTATCCACAGCCATAGCCACAGGAGTTGCCGTAGTAGTTGCCACACATGTTGTAAGGAGAGGAGAGCTCAGGTGGGTTGCAGGAGGGTGTTTCTGAAGTGTGTCTGCCTTCGACCTGCCTTGGACCTTTATATACTGTCAGTAATTGGCAGAGCATTCCATTCCTCTCCTGACTTAGCCAACAAACATTTAAGCAACTACATATTATGTGCCAGTCACTGTTGACAATCACTAATGCTTTGCTTAAAATGACCTCACTGTTTCAGAGACTCTGGTTTTATCATTTTCATTTGCTCTGCCAAAGAGTTGTCTCAATAGACTCATGTGCCCAAAAGTAAAACTAAGACCCAATTTCAAAACTTCCTGTACTCAACACCTTATATAATAAGATTTTGGGGGATTGATGTTGCCCTGTTTTCACTCTGCTGTCTCCTATAATGTCTACCTCTGTCCACAGGGAAAGAAATAACTGCCATCTCCTTTCTTGATTCATTGTAACTTCTTGTCAGGCTTAACCCCCCAGAGACCTGTTGCCAGATACTTAATGGCACTTTATGGTAGAAATCGAGGATGGTGCTAATTCCACAAGGCACAGAACAGCCGCCAAACAAAAAACATATGGTTCAAAATTTCAAAGTGTTGTGATCTAGAAATCTTGTTTTATAGCTCTGCATCTATAAACACGCTTCTTTATCTATAGGTGTCTCCATCCAACATACCCTTCTTCTTCCTTCATACCAAACATCTGACCATTCAATTACCAAACATGCTCTCAAATAAAGTAGGTTTGTTTGTTTGTTTCTTTGTTTGTGAGGGAGATTTTTTTGCTCATCTTACTTATCTTTACTTATTTTACTCATCTTTACTTAAATCACCATTTTCAAAAATAAGCAGACTCAAAATTTAAATTATTTTTTACTTAAACAACTATTAAATCAAATTTGGAGGGAATATAAACTCAGAAAGATCATTACTTCTTCTGGGTACACGAATTTCAACAACAGAGGAAAGAGTGGTTTTCCAGTTCTTGATTGAATGCCTTCAACAAGCATTTTCACAAAGAATTTACAATGCTATCAATTTCATTTCCTGAGAACTTTCATTATTAGACATTTTTCTTTCAGTTGAGTAATCTTCCTATTTTTGTGACAGTGGTCATTGGTCAATTTTGTTCATTCTGCTATATTTCACCCCTAACAATAAGCATAAAGAAAATATATCCCTATTACAATTTTGCTTTTCCTTTGGTTTCCTTCCACTTCTGTCATCCTTCAAATTCAAACCCATAAGTTCCACTTCACGAATTCCCTAAATAGACACATTACTTTCAGTAGTGCTTCCAATATCCATTTTCTGTCCATAATACCTCTAGATTATTGAAAAATTCTTCTATCTATATCACGTAGTTTCTAATGTCTTTCCACTTAGATTTCTGAATACTGATCCATAATAGTAGAAACCATCTCTATTATGTGCAACCCTGCATAACCAACTCTGACTACAGTGCCTGGCACATAATTTACACTTGATCAATAGTGTCCAATAAAAAGCAGATGGATTAAGTCAAACAGGTGTTCAAACATTTGTGTCACTTTTAAACTATAAGATATTTGGACATACTATCAACATTTTCCCATTTTAGTCAAGATGAAAAAAAATCAACATTTTTGACTAAGAGATTTCAGATTTCACAATTTCAGATTCTGAAGATATCACTTTCTTTTTAATTAAAGTTTATTGGGGTGACAATGGTTAGTATTTACATAGGTTTCAAGTGTACAATTCTGCAATACATCATCTATATATCACATTGTATGTTCAACACCCAGAGTCAGTTTTCTTTCCATCACCACAGATTTGACCCCATTTACCCTCATCTACCAGCCACCTCCCACTTTACCCTCTGAAACCACTAAACTATTATCTATGTCTACCAGTTTTCATTTTGTTGTTTGTTTTTCTTGCTCCTTGTTGCTTTCAGTTTTATATCCCACATATCAGTGAAATCATATGGTTCTGGACTTTTTCTCTGTGGCTTATTTTGCTTAGCATAATAAATTCAAGAACCATCCATATTATAGCAAATGGCAGTATTCATCTTTTCTTATGGCAAAATAGTATTCCATTGTGTATATATACCACATCTTCTTTATTCAATCATCTATTGAAGGACACGTTGGTTATTTCTATGTCTTGGCCACAGTAAATAAAGCTGCAATGAACATTGGAGAATGTATGTCTTATGGATGCTTTCAGATTTGGGGGGAGGGGGGTAGATACCCAGAAGAGGGATTGCTGAGTCATATGGTAGTTCTATTGTTAATTTTTTGAGGAACCTCCACACTGCCTTGCATAGTGGCTACACCAACCTGCATTCCCACCAACAGTGTATGAGTGTTCTTTTTTCTCCAAAACCTCTCCAACACTTGTTTTTATTTGTCTTGTTGACAGCCATTGTAACTGGTATGAGTTGATAGCTTGTTGTAGATTTTATTTTCATTTGTCTGATGATTAGTGATATTGAGCATGTTTTCATATGTCTATTTGCCATCTGTATGCCCTCTTTGGAGAGATGTCTATTTAGGTCCTCTGCCCATTTATTAATTTGTTTGTTTGGTTTTTGTTGTTGAGTTATATGAGTTCCTTATATATTTTAGATATTAATCCCTTATCAGAGGCATTGTTTGCAAAAATTGTCTTCTATTCAATTTGTTACCTCTTTATTTTGTTGATGGTGTATTTTCCTGCACAGAAGATTTCTAGTTTGATATAGTCCCATTCATTTATTTTTGCTTTTACTTCTCTTACCATTGAGGTCAAATTCACAAAATCCTTTTTGAGCCCAAGGTCCATAAGTTTAGTACCTATGTTTTCTTCTAGGCAGTTTATTGTTTCAGGACTTATGTTTAGGTCTTTGATCAATTTTGACTTAATTTTGGTACATGGTGACAGATTACAGTCTAGTTTCATTCTTTTGCATGTGGCTTTCAATTCTCCCAGCGCCATTTATTGAAGAGGCTGTCTTTTTTCCATTGTATGTTTTTGGATCCTTTGTCAAAAATTATCTGTCCATATTTCTGAAGATATCTTAATCCTGAATTTTCCAAAACCCTTTTCTGGATATATAAATTATGTTACTCATGCCTCATAAGTGACCATCCCTTTTCTGGATGTATCAATTATTATAATACCTAATAAATAACATATTTTCTTTTTCTCAGAATTCCTTCTATGATAAGGACCATAATGAACCAGTAAGTTAAATTTTCAAAGGGATGTAATAATGAGAATTCCATTCCTATGTTGATAAGTCTAACCTCAGAGTTACCCACAGCACAGTCAGCCCTCAGATCTGATGTGCCAGCTATGAAACTGTCCTGCTCTTGAAAGAACTCCTGTTTCTGCATCACTTGAACCAATTACAGTCTTGGTACAGAGAGCCTCATTCCAGAGCTGACATTGATAGCCTCACCTCACCTTCTTCCTTGGAGTTGGCCATTGTGTGGACTCTCCTAACTCTAGTGACCTTAGGGTCAAATATCCTGCAGTGACCCCTCTCATGCCATGGAGAGAACATGGTTTACTTTTATCACTGCTGGTTGAAAGTGAGTTTTAAAGGCCTTTTCTGTTGTGGGATCTAAATGTGAGAGTTCTGAAAGTCTAATGAGAAAAAACACTAGTGTCAGAACCCAACAAAGCAGTAGGCTCTCCAACTCAGGAAGTCAATGGGACTTTTTCATCCCATTCCTATATCTGCCCCATTAAAGAAATAGGACTTTCTCTTTTCCAGGGGAAACACATTGCACCACCTGATCATACCTAATATTTAATGGATTTCTCTTCCTCTTGTACACTTGCTAAGATACTTTCTAATCTTTCTTTGAAACAGACATCACCACATTTTTTACCTTTTCAAATATTTCTCTAATATTGCAAACTTCTTTTCCATTCCACTGAGCTGTTTTATTCCCTCCATGTCAATAATCTGTCAGAATTTATCTTAACTATATTTGTTGAATATTTTTACCTTCACCTAATAAAATATAAACACTGAGTATGAAACTTGTTTGTAATTTTCCTGCTTTATCTTTAGTATATAGAACGTGGCCCTTTCAAACAACCTCAAAAATATTTGTGAATTAAGTGACATCAATTTTCTGAATCTTCATATATGCAAACACATATATTTGTACTTCCTTGTAATGCAGATGATATGATAGAATGTTTTTCTTCTAATCTGTCTTTTCTTTAGAGCTTTACTCCTCATACTAACTACCTGTGTCTGCTTCTAATTTCTCAATAATCCTGGAAACTATCTCTCCTATTCCAATGCTCCTTAAATTGCTCAGGCCACAACTTCTCTCCCTAGGACTTTGTACATTCTTCCTAAGTACAATGTTTTGCTGTACACAATTTTTTGCCCAAATATGTGAGGGAAAAAGAGGGATGTCCATTATACATGGGTAATACTAACTCGTACCTATAGAAATCTTTTTAATTATTTTATTTGTGCTTATGAGTCATAAGTGGAACTCTAGAAATCAATAACAATATTTGTATGCAAAATAATACCCTGGAATACGATAATCAGTTTTGTTGAACTTACACAAAATTGCAACAATGAAGAGCTCTTGGGCTTCTAGTATGCATAAATATCATATATTTGTTACTGGTATAAAGAACTTCTTGTAACTTGTACCTGTTCTTGTGTTTTGAAATTATTTGTTACATAAAATTTTTTATATGTTAAAATTCCTTTCTAATACAAAATAATAAGCATCTAAATGTAAACCAAAAAACTTGAATTAAAATTTTTTTTAAGATTTTATCTCTGAAAGCTGGAGCCAAACTGTGTGTGCACATTATACACAGGAGCACATAATGCACACCAAAACACACTAAGTAGTATTTTTCTTTCTCTTCCAGATACACTGCAATTTCTAAGCACACTTCTAAAACAATGTGATATATGGCTGTGTATGTGATTGCCTGAGCATGTGGGATATGACAAGTAGGTGGAGGAGACATTATTTTTTATGCTACTAGTGG